ACCACGGTCAACCCTCCTACATCTCACTCTATTCTTTCACTTTTATTTTTCTTTTCACTTCACCCATATTTTCCTTTCTTCCCACATATCAGTTATATCGATCTAATCAATATTTTTAGATAATTCAATCACCAAAAACCTATATTTTACATATTTATTATATATATACTTTTTTTTAAATTTTTAGTAAACTATGTTCTTTCGAAAATGGTAAAATGTGTATCTTATATTTTCTAAGTTTTGGTCTTGTTTTACAAAAAAAATTATTTTAGGGTTGCTTTTTTTTTTTGTCACGCCTTAAATTGATAGATGCATAATTCTATTTTAATATATCTATTTTCATTGAATCTGATGAAATGCTAATAAGATGGCTCATTGTACTTTTAGGTTATCTTATCTCGAAAAGTTCACTACTTTAATTTAAATGTTATTCTTATTGTATTTGAGAAATATTCCATTAAAAATTCAACAAACAGCTTTATTAACAAGAAAGTAAAAGAATAAATACCATTCCTCCAAAGATTTAAAGTATGCAAAAAAGTCTTGGTTTTATTGATTTATTTGTTGTGTTGTTTTAGGTTTCAAACTTTGATTCATTCAATTCCGTTTGAACGCAAAATTGGAACCATTGGTTTTAATTTTTGTGTAGAAATCTAAAACAGAATGTTCGTTAGAGAACTGAGATGGGAGCTCTGATGAAATTCAACCATCCCCTTAAGGTGTCATCATACTAGTGGTCCTCCCGGAATGGACCACTGCATAGTCCATGCATGCACCATCGACGTTGAATCTATTCTACCCACTCCTTTCCCTCACCTCATTCCCCAATGGGTCAGATATTGTTTTCATTCAAATCACGGTATCTAAACCCTAAACGAGAAGATTCGTTTCCCTCGGAAATGTAATCTTCATAATCATATGCATGCAAGAAATTGATGTATTATACTGATTACGATATACAAAAATATTTAAAAACGAAATCGGCAACCGCGGAACAAGGGAGACAAAACCTGAGAAGAATCATGTGTAATGTCGGCATAAACACAAAACAATCGACAGCGTCGAAACCAGGCCACACGCACACACACACAGTATCATTTGTTTTCTCAACCACAAAAACCATGCTGTGTTGTTAAGCCCACCGTCTTTTAATTTGGTATATGAGATTCCAAGATCATTACAAAGTCGAGAATAAAAAGATTAATGTAAGGAACCTTGTTGATGGTCGACACGTGTGACGTCAACACAGATTTTGAGAAGAAAAAGACAGCCGACTTTCCATGGCTGTCGGTGTGGGTTTGCGTGTTAAAAAGCTTGGGTGTCTAACTCAGACATGAAACCTCCCATATTACAAGTAGCAGAAGTGGGTCCATGCCACGTGTATTTAGGAAATGTAAGATCTGGCTTGTAATGCCATATCCTATCTATCCCACACGGTATTCGTTCAATAGACCGAAACAGATAAAATATTTTTTATAAAAACTTAAATAAATAAAGAAAAGGGCTTATTCGCTGGCACAATCTAAGGCTTATGCAAAGGGGAAAGCCAAGATATTGACGTCTTTTAATTTGGAAGGTAAAATAAACTATAGTTTGCCAAATTCGTACCACTCTATACGTTTTTTTATATAAATTGTAATACCATTCTAGTTCTACTTTGAGTGAAGGAAAGGATATTTAGGGAAATAAAGAATACTTTTGATGAGTCTAAAATCTATAACTTAAAAAAATATGTAGAAATAAAATAAATAACTTAACCGTTTATATTTGTTTTGTTTTGTTATATTTTTAAGAATTTGAAAGATGCACAAATCAACTCTTGTCAGTGATTTAGAAAATCGTTATTGGTTTTAGAGATTATGGGTTTGAACACGAACGATTATAACAGGATGATTAAACGTTTATTGTAAAATGATTGAAAATATTTAGAATAAATACTATTTTATAATTACCTTAACCTAAAAAAAATGTGATAGATTTTGAGTTTAATTTCTTCATATTCGTCCCAAAAAGTTACCATATCCTACTCGTAACATTTCTCTTATATTATTCATTTTATGTTGTTTTTATAACGGTCCTATTGCCTATTTGAGCTTTTTTTTTCTCTTCCACTCAATGTTTAAAACGACATCAGATTTTAGTCTGATTGAAAAGGAAAAGAAAAAGAAAAGAAGTTGAGGAAATTTTAGATTTGGATTCATATGTTACCATGAAGCTTTTTTATTTGATTCACTTTCGATACTCATTAGGTTGTGGGTCCCAACTGTAAGATGTTTTATTGAGTCATTCAACTATTAAAAGTTACAAAATAATTACATAACTATTCATTATATTCCAAATATGTTCTTTCCGTTAAAAATTTAACGACTATCTCAGCTGAATATGTTAATATGTTGTTTGAGATACGATAAAATTTGATCCCAGAATCTCAAACGATTATCATATCTCACACAACAAATTAACATTCAACTCATACTACTATAAAATTTTTAACAGAAAAAACGAGTTTAGAACATAATGAATAGTTGAATGACCATTTTGTAACTTCTAATAGTTGAAGAACTCAATAAAACAACATCGTATAGTCAAAGGGTCATTTTATAACTTTTAATAGTCAAAGGACTCAAGAAAATAGTGTACTATAGTTGGGAGACCATTTGTGCATTTTACTCAATTATTTATATGTTTATAAATGCAATGGTATAGTCAAAGGGTCATACACACCACTTCCTTCACTACAGCAAAAGTATTCTATAGCGGCGTTTCTAGCAGCGTTTCAAGGGAAAACGCCACAAAATTTAAGCATGTCGCGGCGTTTACAATACAAACGCCACAAAATGATACTTTAGTGGCGTTTTTAAATAAACACCGCAATAGAGTGGTAATTTAGCGGCGTTTATAGCTCAAACGACGCAATAGAGTTGTTTATAGTGGCGTTTTTTCAACAAACGCCGCAATAGAGTGGTAATTTAGCGGCGTTTTTATACAAACGCCACGATAGTGTTGTTTATAGAGTCATTTGTTCAACAAACGACACTATTGAGAAGTAATTTAGCGGCGTTTATCAAACAAACGTCGCAAAAGGTTTGTTTATAGTGGTGTTTCTGTAAAAAAACACCGTAATAGAGTAATAATTTAGCGGCGTTTGTCCCACAAACGCCGCAATACATTGTTTATCGTGTCGTTTTTATAAAAACGCCACAAAAACATGAACTATAGTGGCGTTTGTTTTTTATTAAACGCCGCAAAAATACTCAAAAATACTCTTAATTTAGTGGTGTTGTGCGAAAACGCCGCAATAGCCTTGTACTTATCTGGCGTTTGTGATCAAACGCCGCAATATCCATGTACTTTAGCGGCGTTTGTAGAAAAATGCCGTAATAGTTTTGTCATTTAATGGCGTTTCTTTAATAAACACCACAGTAGTTTTGTCCTTTAGGGGCGTTTTTGTAATAAACAACGTAGAAGTTTGGTCCTTAGAATTTTAATATAAATGCCGCCATTGTCCATCGTTATATCATATATCCCCAATTCTGGTCGATCCCTTTTTTTTATCCCTAATTTTTTTATCGATGGGCAGTGCGTCTTCATCAAATCGTCACCACCGTCGAGCCTCTACTGAGCAATGTTTTAAGCGGCGTTTAGAGAGTAAATGCCACAAATTTTAAATATATAGCGGCGTTTACAATTCAATTGCCGCAGTAGGCAATACAGCAAAATAGTTTTATATTGGCATTGTTCGCGGTGTTTTTATAAATATATGCTGCTAAATTGGTATATATAGCGGCGTTTATAGCCAAAACGCAACAAAATTATTACATTTGCGGCGTTTTTAGACAAATGTCGGTACAAACTCATAATTTAGTGGCGTTTTTGAAAAACGCCATAATATATTAAACATATGGTGGCGTTTGTATAAATAAATGCCGCAATTGTTGTCGTCCTATACCCATTAGAGGCGTTTGTGTTTACAAACGCAACAAAAGGTTCATAATTTGGGGCGTTTTTTAAATAAACGCCGCAGTAGTCTCATTAATCTCTGGCATTTTGTGGCGTTTGAATTTAAAAACGCCACTAAAGTGATCTATTAACTCTTGCGATACCATTTCTCTTCTTTCAAGAACATTTACGATCGAAAATAAATGCTGCCCGTTTCCATTCAAAGTCGTCATCACCTATACTAGTTCTCTGAATCTTCTACTGCCCCTAAACATAAAACCCCAGTCGAATTGTTTGTATAAAAGCCTAGCACGAGAGAAACCCTAGTTCTCTGATTATCTTGCAAAAGAATTAGTATTTTGAAACCCTAGCTCAGAAGAATTAGGAGGGAAATTGAAACATCAAAAGGATATTGGATATCGTTTAGGTTAGTATTTTGTATGATGAACACTCGTATATTGAATCATGTTTCTTCTTCTTCTTTTAATTATGTTAAATCATGTAAATTGTTAAGGTTATAAAATGATATTCTCATGTTACCATCTTTGACAAAATCATTTACGAAAGTCAAAAAAACTCTAAGATATACCCGTGTTCTTGTAATTAGCATGCGTTTCTTATGTTATAGTCACGGTCACCACTCACCAATCTTTTTTCTTTCTGCCATTGGGAGTTTCTCTGTTGTTAATCCTATTTTCCCTTTCGACACAGTCGACAAGTTTTATTCTTTTCAACTGATAATTATTACAAAAATTGTTGTCGTAGGACTTATTGGCCAATCGCAAATGTTCATTGCTTGTTGCTAGATATCCTGAGGTCAGAACTGATTTAGTAATCACTCTGCATGGTGATGCTATTGTTGTAAGTTATTTGTAATTTTCGTTCTCCTGTTACTCATCCTAATGATTTGGTGTTCTAAAGTATTTGAGATGATGTTTTGTTCAATTATATAGGTTTTGCATTTGTTTACAGTAAAAATTTTATGGTAAATAAGAACAATTATTTTCATTAATAAAAATGAAAAAATAATCAACACCATTAACATTAGCTGCAAAATTTAGAGAAAAAATGCTCCTGCTGTAGTTGCCATGGCTTATGATAATCTTCAATCCGAATCACTTTCCACACTCCCTATGGCCTTCAATCCCCTTGGTCTCTGCAAACAAAAACAGGGAAGAAGATAACTACATGCACAATATATTCAAAAACTTCATAGAAAAAGATGAGGGTAGCCAAGGATTCAAATAACAGTTTTGGTCACGATTGTGGCAATAGCGGGTACTATTGCGGTTGTGAAATAATGGTTTCGATTGCAGCCACTATTCCAATAGCGGACCACTATTTAAATCCCTGGAAATAGTTGTCATATGTTTACCTTCTTAGAACTCTTTTTTTCCCTAACTTCGTATCTTTCTTGGCACATATCAGTCAACCATGCCCCAGGGCTCACCAGCTACACAAAATTGAACCCAGGGCTCACCAGCTACACAAAATTGAACCCAAAATTATGAGAAATCCTTATCCACAAGATAAGATCATCATATACCTCAGCTTTTGATACATTTATCTCACATACACGAACGAATACAAGATTTTATATTAGAGATTAAAACAGATTATCAACGTAAAATACAAAGGAAATTCGACAATTGGATTGCTTACAAGTAAGGTCCTTTGGATGATTTGGACCTAGAGGGCATAACACTTGGTGATGATTAAATCAAGGAACATTGACTAGTTCCTTAATTGGGAACATTAATTTTGTTTTGAGGTAAAGTTGAAACCTTAATTGGGATGTATGATTAGTTTTACATATTTGATACTTTGTTAGTACTTAAGTGACTTATACAAACCTATGTTCAATGTTAGTTTATGATTTGATCATCAATAACAATACGTTAAAGTTCAAACATATGTTCCTGTTTGGCTGCAACATATGATTATCCCTTCTCATTTTATTATTTCTATTTTCTGTCTATAATTTCAGCTCATTTGCATTGTCACTCCATCATCAAGTAACATATAAGAGACACGCAATACACTGAAGTTTGCTCACCGTGCTAAAAACACAAAAATCCAAGAGGTAGAAAACAAGGTATGCTTGTATTTTAGATTTTTAATACTTTGTTGTTGTTTCCAGTTACATGCGTGTCTGTTCTTTGTATGTGAAGCACATGCTAGAAATACAAACATGTATACGCATGCACATGCTAGAAATTATTTCCGTATTGGCTATTGAACCTTTGTTAGTCCACATTAGAGACTCCACAGTTGTTTAAAACCCTATTTGACATCTAAAAAAGAAATGGTTACATAAATATATTTAAAAGTCTAGCAATCATCGACAAATAAGGCAATTCAATTAATCCAAATTTCCTCTCATTTAATGGATTAAATGTAGACCATTGTCAAACATTTAGAATTTAGGTTTGGCTCATTCTTTACTGTCACTTTGTGGACCGATGGTGGATGATTAGAGGCTAATTAGTATCCGAAAATGAAAGCATTTGTGAAACCGTTCGTGTTTATTCAAGTTTACCCATCTCGGAATTAGGAGGATGTAGGAGTTATCAAAGGTTTGAACTTCGAATTAGGTTTTAATTGAAAATTAAGTCTTTTATCACTGTACTGATGATTATTTTTTAATATATATATATTTAAATTTTTATATTATACATTTATATTTTATGTGTGATATAAATTATAGAACAAATAAAAATAAAATAAATTATGATATTAGAAAACTAGAAGATGAGCAAGGCTAGATTAAGTGCGTGATTGAATATTGAAGTTCAAACCCATATACCCTTCTGAATCTGATTCGAATATAACAAAACACTTTTTCATTTGTTATTTGATTTAACCTAGATTTAGAGAAATTTCACCTAAACTAAAATTTGATACAAATTTTAAGGTAAAAATACTCATATAATTTGACATAATTATATATAATTTTTTATTAGATAAAATAATGACCTAATTAAAAAATAGATAGAGGGATATTATAAAAAGTATATTTAAATATATAAAGATCAATTATATTATTATTATTGAGTCGAGATTGATAGTTTTCACTCTTAATTCAAACTCAACATAATTTTATTATTCAAAAATCTCAATGGATTAAATGTAACATTTGAATTTGAAACTCCAGAAATACGAAATGGATAAGAGTTTGATGGATTTCTCAAGGGTAAGCGTCGAATATCGAAATGGAGTCAAAAAATTTCTAAATTTAGCTTTTCTGAATGCAAGCCAAGAGAATATGATTCTTTGCCCTTGTAATAATTGTGTTAACATTAACTAGTACATTCGTGAAGTTCTGTACGAGCATCTAGTTAATTTTGGATTTATTCGGGGGTATAGAAAATGGATCTTTCATGGAGAGTTTGTTCATATAGATCTGCTTCCATGAGTTATTCGACTTATCTTGCTCCTTCTCACCATCTAACTTTTAGAGAAGATGACATACAAGAGATGTTACGAGATGCATTTAATATGCACACTCATCAGCCGTATGTTACAGAAAATTATTTTCAGAATGATATTAATGATTTCATTGAGATGAGAAGAATTGGAAGTACTGAAGAGCCAAATGGAGAAGCGACAAAGTTTTACAAGTTGCTGAATGAAATGAATGAACAACTTTATGAGGGATCAAAGTTTTCAAAGCTTTCTTTCTACATTCGTCTTTTCCATTTAAAATGCCTGGGAGGGTGGACTGGTAACTCCTTTACACAATTGTTGGAGTTACTAGGAAAAGTGTTTCCTTTTACAAAAATCCCTCAATCATGCAAAGATATGAAGAAAATAATAAAAGATTTGGGTATTGGATATGAAAAAATTCACAGTTGTCCAAATGATTGTATGTTGTATTGGGGTGATCGAAAAAATCAAGACTCTTGCCATGTATGTGGAAAATCTCGATAGATGATTAGGGAGGCAGAAAATGTTACTGAGGATGAAGCTCAAGCATGATCAAGAAAGAAACCGATTAAGATTCTGCGATATTTTCCTCTCATACCTAAGCTACAAAGATTGTTTATGTCCTCCAAGATTACTGAGTCTATGAGCTTGGAAGCCATTTGACAACAAGTATCCAAGTTTTACGAGAGATCCTCGAAATGTCAAGCTTAGTCTTGCAACTGATGGGTTTAATCCATTCAAAATCATGAGTACTTCGTATAGTACTTGGCCTGTTGTACTTGTTCCATACAATTTGCCTCCCTGGATTTGCATGAAACAATCATCTTTCATCTTATCCATGATAATCCCCGGCGAGAAAGGCCTCGAAAATGATATTGATATTTATATACAGCCGCTAATTGCAAAGTTGAAACAGTTATGGGAAGTGGTCGAAACGTATGATGTGTTGACGAAGGAGAATTTTAATTTACGCGCGACTTTATTATGGACAATTAATGATTTTCCTACGTATGCAAATTTATCGGGTTGGAGTACCAAAGGTCGTTACGCTTGTCCTTGTTGTGCTGTAGAAACATGTTCGAAGTGGTTGGTTAATGGAAAGAAGTTCTCTTATATGGGACATCGTCGGTGGTTACCTGATAATCATAGATTTAGAAGTCAAAAGAATATGTTTGATGGTGATGAAGAGTTTCGAAATGCTCCTGACCAAACAACCGGCTCTCAAATATTCAGAATGTTGAAAAATATCAATTTTACTTATGGAAAGATGAGTCAACCAAGTAGTGCACGATCAAAGAAAAAGGCAAAGCAAGTCAATGAAGAGGTTGAAGTTGACGAACAAACTGATGATGAGTCTGATGAAGAGGATGATCCAAACGAGGTAGACTTGTGGAAAAAAGATGAGTATATTTTTCGAGTTGCCTTATTGGAAAAAACAGATTTTGAGACATAATCTTGATGTAATGCATATTGAGAAGAATGTTTGTGAGATTATTATCGAGACCATTCTGAATGATGGCAGAAAATCTAAAGATAATCTTAAGAGTCGACTTGACTTAGTGGACATGGGAATTCGGCATGATCTTCATCCGCAATTACGTCCAAATGGAAGAAATTTCTTGCCGCCTTCTATTTTTTCTCTTTCGAAGAAAGAAAAAGAAGTGTTTTGCACGGTGTTGAAGGATATAAAAGTCCCAGATGGGTATGCATCAAACATTTCTCGATGTGTCAGTGTTAAAGATCGAAGACTTTATGGTTTAAAGTCAAATGATTATCACATATTAATGCAAGATTTGCTGCCAGTAGCTGTTCGCGGTTTTATGTCGAGTAAGGTGAAGTCTTGTATCATTGAACTTTCTAATATAATGAAAGCCATATGTGGGAAAATTCTAATGGTTGAAGAACTTGATAAACTACAAGATCGAGTCGCCTTGACTTTATGCAACTTAGAGAAGATATTTACACCTTCATTCTTCACAATTATGGTGCATCTGCTAATTCATCTTCCTCACGAAGCAAGAGTTGGTGGTCTAGTTTTCTATCGATGGATGTACCCTATAGAGAGGTGTTATTTGAATTACACGTTTCAAATTACTACTGATTATACCTCTCACTCAAATGTATTTACGTAATGTTGTTTTGTGTTTAGGTTCTTGGGCAAGTTGAAGTTTTATTGTCGTAATAAGCGTTATCCGGAAGGATCAATTGCTGAAGGGTATTTGGCAGAGGAATGTATGACATTTTGTTCTAGATATTTGGAAGATGTTGAAACAAGATGGAATAGACCAAATCGAAATGATGTGTTAAGTACTGATGACTTACCTCAACATTATTTCTTTGGAAGTTATGGTCAACCATTAAGGAAAGTTGAAATTGCACACTTAGATGACACGTCTTGGGTACAAGCACACTGATATGTTATTTTCCATCACGATTCAATAGATCCCTTTCGTACATAAGTCTTTCGGACCCAATCCTAATGAAATCTCTTTATCTTTTATATTTATCAATTCTTAACGACATAATATTCTTTATAGTGAGTTTAAAGAAGTATTGAGATCTCGAGCATGCTCCCGAAGATTAAATTAGCGAGAGCTACATAAGTTATTCACATAAACTTTTCATGAATGGTTAGGCCAGACGGTAAGCAACTAAATCTTACGGAACACTTATAAATTATTTATGTCTTGCTTTTTATATCCACGTCAATGCAAATTAATTCACCATTCATGTGTAATAGGTTTGGAGTGGGAGAGAAGTTAGTGAAGAAGTTAAATGGCTTTCTCAAGGTTCAAATAGAATAGTTAAAAGATATAATGTCTTCCTCATTAATGGGTTCAGGTTCCACATGAAATCTCGTGAAAGATTAAGAAGGACACAAAATTGTGGAGGAGTAGTTACTTCGTCAACTACAAGTTATGCTACTGTAAGGGACAATAATCCACATGAGGGAGAGGTCGATTATTATGGAAATCTTACGGACATTATTGAGTTAGATTATTATGGAAAACGAAAGGTTATGTTGTTTCGGTGTGACTGGGTTGATATAAATAAATGTATAAAAAGAGACAAAACCGGGTTTACAATGGTGAATTTCTCTCGATTAATTCACACGGGTCAACATTTAATGGATGAACCATATGTATTTTCTTCTCAAGTGAAATAAATATTTTATTGTCACGATCCAATGGATGACGGTTGATATGTTGTGCTTCGAAATACTCCAGAGACTTGATAGACATCGGGGATGGAAGTAGAGACGACATTGAAACAAGATCAGAAAGTTTACCTCTATTACCACAAAACTTAGATGAAGCTATCATTAATACAACACAATTTCAATGGGTCCGGGAGGACGTTGATGAAGATATTTATGACAACTGACATTATATAAGACTTTTGTACGATTTTATATCTTAATTTATTTATTTATAATGTTATAACCTTTAACATGTTGTCTTTCAATATATTCATTAATTAATTCATTTTTTTATTACTCATGTTTGTTTATTATAGATATCATGCCGAGGAGAAAAATAAATGATTTGCGGGTTGTTCGAGCTTCTGAAGACCATGAAGAAAGAAATAACGAGGAATCAAATGCACCTGAGTCTTCCAAAGTTCCAGAAACTGTTGAAGAAGACGTAGAAATTCAAAGTAATCTTCGAAATATTATTTACTATTTTGTTCATTTTCAAAACTGGCATTTAATAATTTCTTATATAGTTGAAAATGCTGGAACGCGCAAGAATCGAGGACGTACAACTTTGAAGGAATTATATCAACTTACTCCTGGGCATCGTGTCAAAGTTTCAAGAAACGATGTCGGTCAACCTATTGGCCCAGAATCACGTCTTCTAGCAGGTTACTTAGGCATAGTTGGATGTAATGTGAATCTGTTACTGATCAATTACGAGTCATGGCGCGAAATGCCTAATAGTAACAAAAATCAAGCGTTGGATTTTTTAAGGTAATAATGTCATTATAATACATACTCTATAGAAATTCAATACTAATTTATACTTACGGTGCACACTTATTTGCTATATAGGAGAAATTTTCTTTATAAGTCTCTGATGATTATGTGAAGCAAACGTTAGGGAAGAGATTGAGGGATCACAAGAGCTCCTTAAAGAAGAAATACTTCAAGAATGGTCTCAGCCTTGAAGAGAAGTTGCAAACAGTCCCACCAGGAATGCTCAGGTACCAATGGGAAGATGCAATCATATTTTGGAGTTCACAAAAAGGACAGGTATGATGTATTTTTCAGAAATAATTGTAACGAATTGTAAATCATCATTAAAAGTGGTTGTTTGACATTGTAGGACCAAGAGCATATTAGTGTTGCTAGCAAGCAACAACAAAAGTTTACGCACACGGCTGGATCGAAGAGTTTTGCTTGTATAGCTCATGAGGAGGTATTATAGATTATTGAAATAGTTTTTTCCTTTCCATGTACATACTAACTCATAGTAATTATATTATGGTACATTGTAGGAAAATACATTCAGTTCTAAAGTTGGTCGAATCCAACTCTTCGACATAACACATACGAAGAATGATGGCACTCTTATGACTGCTGACGCTGCAGAAATTATGGTACATTTTTTGGGTAGATGTTTTAAATTTACCTGACTTTATTTATATTTGTACAATGTCATTTTTTATTTTAATTAATTATTCACTTTATTAGGAAAAATTGAGGGAGAAAAAGGCGGAGTATCATGTTACTGCTTCGAGTCAAGGTATTGTTAATGATGATGACATTGGAAACCAAGCTATTAATGACGTTTTGGGTCCTGAAAGATATGGTTGGGTGCGCTGTCAAGGATCATTCTTTACTCCCACCAAATATTTTGGATCCAGTTCATCACAGTACATGTCATCACAGTCTCGATCTTCCCACCAACAAGTTTGTCGTTTAAAAGAAAAGTTGGCTGAGATGGATCAACAAATGGCTAATTTGAAAGCGAAAAATGAAGCAAGGGAAGCAGAGAGAGCAGCAGCAGAAGCAGCCAGAGCAGCAGCAAAAGCAACCAGAGTAGCAGTGGAAGCAGAGAAAGAAGCAGCGGCAGCACAAAGAGAAGCAGCATATCAGCAGAGATGTGAAGAATTTGAAAAACGACTCAATGATATGATGCTGATGATTCAGAAAACGCAACCTCAGAATCCACCATCGTAGTCTCATTTATGTTATGAGCATTCTATTGAACCTTGTTTAACTGAACTTATATTACGTTAATGAAAACTTTTATTTATTATATTGGATTTGATGTTGTTTGTTATGGATATAGAGTTTGATGTTATTATTGTTTTGTTTGTTGGATAATGGAACATGTTGAAAAAATAGTTTTGGGGTAATCAAGCATAATTTTTATGAATGTTAATTCTGTGTTATTTAGCGGCGTTTGTAACAAAAAACGCCGCAATATATATACAGACCTTTACCGACGTTTTTAGCAAAAACGCTGCAAAACATCAAAACCTACTACGGCGTTTGTGGAAAAAACGTCGTAAAACATCAACACCTACTGCGGCGTTTGTGGGAAAACGCCGCAAAACATCAACACCTACTGCGGCGTTTTAGAGAAAAACGCCGCTAAACATCATAAACTATTGCGGCATTTATCTAAAAAAACGCCGCTAAATATCAACACCTATTGCGGCGCTTTTTGTTTAAAAACGCTGCGAACTTTAGCGGCGCTATTTTTAACGGCGGTTTTTGCGGCGTTTGTTTTAACGCCGCATGTGTTTTTAGCGGCGCTTATAAACGCTACTAAAAGTAAAAAAAAAACGCCGCAAAAAATCTGTTTTTGCTGTAGTGCTTCTAGTTTATATCTTAAATCTCTCTTCCCACCTTCAATTACTCGCATATTCATTCTTCTCCAAATTGGACTCCTCCATTGGACTGCTGGCTCACACTTTTACTGTCTTTTTAACTCTAAAAAATTAGGCAATACTGTAGAGAGTTCTATAAAAATCGGTAAGTATGCTCGACTACAAATAATTTGTCATTGACAATGACGTTAGTAATTAGAATTTGAATTCAAGATATCAACCATAACCAGGTATGTGACACAACTAATAATCTCACATTTAAAACGTTGATATGATTTTCCCAAACATTTCCCAATTATTATAAAACCTTTCATGTTAGATTGTTAGGCACACATCCTAATGGACAATGACTCGATATCAAGCTGCATGAAAACTACCTGACCTAAAAGTTTATTTTTTATCCAAAATTATCAAATTTAAGTGGACAGTGTTAAAAAGTAGGAGGACCACAAAGAGCAATATCCAAAGAAAGTGGAAGGGCATATCCAATTTTACAAGTTGAAATGTGTCGAGTGAGTTAGGATCTTCAGTCATCCTCGACAAACGACGAGGCTGTTGTCGTTGATTCACTGCGTCTCGTTTCACGGTCCCAAATTTGTGAATCTCACGTCGATTACATAATAAAATCTGATTAAAATGCAATTGACCTATAAGAATATTAAATATGTTTTTAATGAATATCGAGATTTAATGCATTGAAATGGTGTCATTCGAAGAGATTTAATGCATTGAAATGGTGTCATTCGAAGAGATGAGTCAGAGAAAATAGTGATTGATTACGACTCCGCTGCCCTTCGGGACCATTTGTCCAGCATCCAAAAAGCTTTCGTTTGAAGGACAAAAATGTAGATCATTAGAAATAAAAAAATAAAAAATAATTAGTGTGGTTGGTAATAGAAAAATGTAAAATATTCTTTTCCATTTCCCATTTAGAAGCACAATTCTTGTGGACTTGGAATTTCTGTTTTAAGTACACAAGTGGTTCCATCCACCACCGTGCGTGGAACAAAATGCGTAGACTGTCATTCGGGGTTAGACAAACTAATGAAATTAAATTTCCCGGAAAGTTGGTTTCATCTACAAGCCCCAAAAATTTATAAATACCGTCCAGTCAAGTTCCTTTAATTAATTCTTATGTTAAGATGTTTAGAGGATATTTCTACATACTACAAGTAATCAAACCTTTAATAGAAAGATAAAAACAAGTGTATAATTTTGTTTAAGTCAATGACATGCATGATTATAGTGATGTAAGATTTTATAATTCTATTTAAATTTATTGATTAATTACTCAACTCATACTATCCATCAACTTCTTTTATCCTTTTATAACCGTCCCTATAGGCTATAAATATGTGTTGATTATCGATAAACATATATTTTGTTTGTGAAAATTATTCACGACTTGTGAATTAAAGAGGATATGAAATACGGTAGGGGTGTATTCGGTTCGGTTTGGTTCGGTTTTTTATCAAAAATTGAACCGAACCGAAATAAACGGTTTTTCAAAATTTAAACCGAAATCGAATGGTTAAAAAACTGAAAAATCGAAATTGGTTTTTTCGGTTCGGTTCAATTTTTTAACGGTTCAGATTTTTCGGTTCGGTTTATCGGGTTTTCAATGAAAAAATCACTTGAAACTATAATTTTTTTTAAAAAAATTGCATATTCGATTCAATATGGAACCCGACCCGACCTGACCTGAATATCACACTTAAAAAAACCCGACCCGACTCGACTCGAATATCACACTTAAAAAACCCGACCCGAACAAAATAAAGCTTCATCCGACCCGACCTGAATATATGAATTAGAAATCCGACCCGACCCGACCCGAAATAATAAAAAATTATTTTTATTTAATAAAAACAGTGACTTAATCCGACCCGAATTATATATATTTTCGGGTCGGTCCGGTTTTTTTCACCCTAAACCCGAACCCGACCCGAATATCACACTTAAAAAACCCGACCCGACCTGAACAAAATAAAGTTTCACCCGACCCAACCCAAATATATGAATTAGAAATCCGACCCGACCCGACACGAAATAATAAAAAATTATTTTTATTTAATAAAAACAGTGACTTAATCCGACCCGACCCGAATTATATATATTTTCGGGTAGGTCCGGTTTTTTTCACCCTAAACCCGAACCCGACCCGAATATCACAATTAAAAAACCCGACCCGACCCAAACAAAATAAAGTTTCATCCGACCCGACCCGAATATATAAATTAGAAATCAAACCCGACCCGATCCGAAATAATAAAAAATTATTTTTATTTAATAAAAACAGTGACTTAATCCGACCGATCTGAATTATATATATTTTCGGTCGGTCCGGTTTTTTCACCCTAAACCCGAACCTGACCCGACCCAACCAGAATATCACACTTAAAAAAACCCGATTCGACCAGATTAAAATAAAGTTTCACCCGACCCGAATATATGAATTAGAAACCCGACCCGACCCGAAATAATAAAAAAATATTTTTATTCAATATATGAATAAGTTACCAAAGGATTGATGAAGGTAGTATGTTCAAATTTCAATTCCGTCCAACAAGAGAATTAAATTACATCCATTTTTAGATGAAATTCACTTTCTCTCATTTGATGGAATTCAATTCCATCAGGGATTCCAATTCTATCGGGGATTCTAATTCCCTTAAAAAACTTGAACAAAATATAGAAAAGTGGTGAAATTAGATTCCAATTCTCACCAATTATAAGAGATTCCATCCAACCAAACGCTATCTAAAAGTTTTACCTTAAGAATTGGAATCTTTGACGTAAGCATAGTGGGTTCCTCTCCACTTTTCTCACCCATCCCCGTTGCCGAATAGCATAAGCTAAACTCTATAAATACGGTTCCAAGGATGCCAAACCTAGGCTTGAAGGCGCCACCACACAGCAGCATCTTCATCCTCCTCTTCCTCCGCAGCCGAAAGCTACAACACTGGATCTCTTATCTACCGTACCCAATCCACCAAAAAGAATGGTCGGAACTAACTCCACCGTCAAATTCCTCTGCAGTTACGGCGGGAAAATCGTCCCTCGCTACCCTGACGGGAAACTTCGTTATCACGGCGGTGAAACCCGTGTACTCGCCGTTGATCGGTCCATTTCCTTCGCTGGTTAGTATTCTCTCCTATCCTTTTATCCATCAACTTCTTTTTTTTATTAGAATAATTTTAAGTTGAATCGGGGTTGTTTTAAGCATGGAAGAATGATAAAGAATGATATAATATACAGAGCTATCGTTGAAGATGGGAGAGATGTGCGGGACACCAGTGAGTCTACGTTGCCAGTTGCCTACGGAGGATTTAGACGCGCTGGTTTCGATCACTTCTGATGAGGATATCACGAATCTCATCGAGGAATACGACCGTGTGGCGTCGCCGCCGTCTTCTTTAAAGATCAGGGTCTTCCTTTCGCCGCTGAAATCGGCCAGAAAATCGATTTCTTCGCCGCCGAAACCGGCCAGACAATCGATTTCTTCTACGCCAAAGCAGCCCACAAAATCGATTTCTTCGTCGCCTTCGTCATCGACTTCGTCGTCGTCCAGTCCCAGATATTCCTGCATACGTCAGATCCCGGGGACTCCCGTAGCTTTCCCTCTTTGCTCTAATAAATGGGCGGGGAAGATGATTCCTTACTACGGTTACCATGGTCAACCTAGTCATATTTACCTTGTTCACAGCGGGAATTACAGGCAATAGCATAAGCTGGAAGGGGATCATATGATTTATTAGCCAGTTATGATCCTTCGAACAAGTAATGATCAATACTACCCATAGAAGAAGTTAAACCATATATGATATTTGTATTTGAAAATGTATATCCTTTAAGAAGAACTGGTTTTGATTAATGAGTAGCCATTAATGAATTCTCAGCTCCTATATTCGTTTTCCATCATCTCCCAAAAATCCCCTAGTTTTTTTTCCTCTCGGAATGTTTTTGTTTGTCGAGTTCCACTGAACTTCAATTTCTCTCAGCTTCCCCAATAATAATTCTCCGTTCTGTTCAATCTCCGTTCGCGCTTAATCATTGAAGCAGGTTCCAGAATTCTCTCCCCACGTTCTTCTTCCTTATCCTCGACAGTTTCCCCTCATTCAGATCCACGAGTGCAATATTTTCGCCGGCATTATCATCTTTTACTTCTTGTCCTGATCTTTTTTCCTTTTGCCTGTTAATAGATTACATTTTATGTGCTCTATCATAATGGTGTTTAATGTAATTTTTTTTTGTTATTCGAATTTGGCAGGTCAATGAATTGAGGACTTGAAACACCAAACAATCTTCGGACGATTGGAGGAGTTTTAGCTTCAATGGGTAAGTTGCTTTTACTTTATAATTAAGTCGGAACATTTTATTAACTAAGAATCGATTTATAAAATTTAATTTAAATTAAATAAATAAATTTATGAGTATTATATTTATGAGCAGAAGCAGATAAATATAGTTTCTCTGTGGGAATATGTAAAGATGATACGGAAAGCCAATGGGCATAGATAAGTCGTGATGAGTGATTCAATTTATTGGTTCATTTATGAGCCAGATTGGATCCATTAGTTGCAAAACGGCAAAAGCAGCAGCACCGAAGCAATGGTTGTTTCCAGTAGCAAACAACCCAAGTAGCAATTGCAATAAATTAGAGGGACCATTGGAAGAATCAGATGACTCATCACTCGGATTTATTGAAGAAAAACTGTCTCATTGGACAGCTGGTATGAATTTTTAACTAAATTAAAAAGAAAAATACTAATTCCAACTCAAATTAGTTAGATATTGTTTACAAGTGATCGTATTGATGAATGGAAGCCATGGTCTCCACACATTCAGCAAGGAATATTCCTGTGGGGATATACAAATATTAAAATTGGATTAAGAAAATCCAAATAATGAATTATACTTGCCTTAGGGGAAAATGGTAAAGTGAATTTAAGGTTATCCTATTCCTACCCCACCATTTGCTATCTTTTCTTTCTATTTAAATAAGAGAAACTATGTGACCAAGGTTGGTATCGAGAAATCATGAATTTGGCAACTGTATTGATGGTAAGGAGCAAGAGACCGGGTGTGTGTGGATGGCCTACTGAATGATGAAGTATCCTTGGCCTCTGTGTCGAAACGTTTCCAAGGTCGGGAGGTGCATCCTTTAAAGTTTTGCTTTGATATGTGTATTGAATCATGGTTCTCGATAGTCGCTACTAATTCTTTAAGGTGTTATTGAATCATTCAAAAACTTGTTAATTTAATAAAATTAAAATAAGAAATTAAGTCTATTTATCGGTGAAATAGATCCGAGAATACGTGTGACGAAGCATTAGCACACTATAATGCTCTTTCGATACCTAGTCGGTTATAATGTTTTCTTAAAAAAATGATTAATTTAATTTGTGATCCTATGAGAAATAAATTTTGATTTTGCACCTAAAAATAGAATTAGTTAGTAAATATACAAATAAAAACAGACTTGGTAAGAATAAAATATATATACAAAAATTAATAATAATAATAATAATAATAATAAAAAGAAGGGAATTAAAAGGAAACATAAGAAAAACCAAAATAAGAAAACCATATCAAATTATAAAACATAAGTTGCTGACTAAACAAATTAAATTAAAATTTTAAACAAGACGTGAACCAAGTAAAATTACAATGAATAAAAGTAGTTTGTCATAATTGAAAATTAAGGTAAGTTGAATTAAATTTAAAAATGAACTAATTGGAAACAAAAAGTATGGTTTTGATTAGAGGAAACTTGAAAAAAAAAAGTTAGATTAATATAGAAACCTAAGAATTTAATAATCAAGAATAGGACTAAATTAAATATAAAAAAAAGTAAATTAAATAAGCAAATGAAAAGGAGTTAAAGTGCGATGAGAGTCAGATCGAATAATTCAAAAACTTTCAGGGATTGCAAATGTTATTTTCTCAAGAACCCATGGAGGCACATGTAACTTGTTTGGTAATTGATGTTCTTCTCCTATTTTACTCACTGTATTTTTAATCCTTTCAATTTAACCACTGAATTTTATATATTATTTTTTTATTACTCCGTCGTTAACTGTCTAACAATATTATGATGTGAATAAATTAAAATATTTCCTAACCTTTAAATTTAATATCAGAAAAAAGTTAAATTAAATAATATTCTGAACTCTTCCTGCTTCTTCATCCAATTCGCTTTCTTCTTTCAACTCTTCATCATCATCATCCACAATAAAGCTACCATTCTTCCCCTGCAGCAACAATTTTCTTATGCACACAACTTGTCGTTTTCCAGCCATTCTTCTTTTGCTTCTCACAGTAACCAATTTTAGAAACCAAACACAAATTTAGTTCAACAAATTTCAGAAATAAGTAATCATACTTTGTACTTCAAACTTACGCTCAATTACAAATTATATGATTACAAGAAAAATCAAGTTCTGCAATTACTAATTCATTGTCCAACTAGGAAATGAATAAGTTATAAATCATTTAAAATAACGTAAGTGAATGATTTTTCATGATTTTCATTTTCTTAGTAACCAAACACAAATCCAGCCTAACAAAATTGAAGAATTAAAAAGTGAATTTTACCTTTTATAGAGTTGATATCTTCAATGTCAACATTCTTTGCTCCACTCTCACTACCCAAATTCATTTTTTCTTTTTCATTTTCTTCCGTTTGCTTCAATACAAACCAAACAGGATCCCGACCCAATACACAAAATCAATTGCAGTTTTCCACCTGACCTTTATCAGAACATTTAAAAGAATTTGATCTCTCCGTTCGTTATGCTCCTTACACAAATTGGATTTGTGCCAATTACTTCAAAGCAAATCCTGGGCTCATTTCAGGTCTCCTTGATTTTGTTGACCAGAGTTTCAAGCTCGAGTTCAACGTGACAATGAGAGACGATTCGATAAGTGATGTTGAACCCTCTTGAGTTTTGGGGTTTTGAAAGTGGGGAGGAAGATGATGGTTTAAGATTTAGGGATCCAAGTTTTACGATTAAGGTTTGAGTGTAGATTTTTAAAAAAAATTATTTTTCATTTTTTAAAATTATAAATCTTACATAGAAGAATTTATTATTTGAAATAATTTATGCAATAATTCTGTAAATGAAGAAACCATTAAGTGATAAAAAAAAATTAACGTATAAAGTTAATGATGAAATTAAAAAAATTAAAATTATAGTGAATGAAATAAGAGATATAGTAAACTATAATCATCAAACGTGTAATTTACCCAAATCTGGAATTAGGAAACATAGTCGTGAAAAATAACGGGATTAGTTTAAAACAGATAAAAAGAGATTTACGCTTTTCCAATTCCGCGCCACTCATTTCCAACCCGTAACCGACCCGGTCCATTTCCAATCCTTAAACCTACCATCTTCTTATAACTCATTCACGAGTGAACTCAGTTTGATTTACAAAAGAATCATAGATTTAATTAGAATTAAAATTACGTATTTTATTATTATTGCCACCCATGAACAATGACAGACAGCACCAGGCTTTTCATTTTATTTTATTTCCTGTTCTTGGATTATTGTTTAATTATTTAACTCCATCAATTCAAAAAAAATATTTAATTTGATAAAAATAATTTTAAATATCTAATTCAGATAAGAGTTTAGTTTAATTTTTTTTTATACAATAAAGCCTTATTAAACTATTTAAGCTGGATAAGCCGTTTAATTGTTACAGGCAAGTCTCTCTCTTTTTGGGCATTTTGGGTATTCCGTTGCTAAAGAGAGAAAGAGAGAGAGATGATCGTAGGCTGTTGAGGTAACCGTTGGAGAAGAAATCAGGGAATCGGAAGATAGGGAGAGTGTTTCTGGCAGCTCATCGTCTGGCTTTCGCAGACTGAGCTCAAAGGTTTCTATTTGTTGTGTGCTTGTTTCTTTTGTTTCTTTAAGAAAAAATGATGTGGATGATGAACGAAGGAGGAGGCCATAATTGTCCGAAGAAAACTGATGACACCTGTGGTGATGTTTGTGGCCAGGTACTTCACTATCTTCATCTCCTCTTGTTTTCGTCTTCTCGTTTCATCTTTTTTGGTTATTCATATCTTCAACAGGAATGTGGGGGTCGTTAATGGAGCTGAAAAATCTTCTTGGATCTTAGTTAAATTATAATAATTAGCTGCTGTATGTATCTTGTTAATCTCTTTGTTTTTTGGGTTTCGTATTAAACTTTTGAAGAAGAAAAAATATGCGTTTGATTTGATTTGGGGGATTGATCGTATTCATGTTCATTTTCAATCGATCTGAAATTTTGTATAGCTACGTGTGAAACTATTTGGTTAATTTTTTCTGGATCATGTAAAATTCAGTACAATAACAAAGATTCGAATAAACCTTAAAATCGGATATCAAAGATGTAAAAAATGCTAGGTGACAAGTAATTTGGGAACTTATTTTACAAAAGAATTGGTTTGCCTTTAGTACCTCGAGGAAACTGGCTGGAAAGGTATTGGATTGATGCTTTTGACAGGTAGCTATTTTTGAAAGCAAATATTATTTTGCTTTGTAGCTTCTATTATACTTCTCTAAGGATCTTAAAAGGCATTACAAATTTGTATATGATCTGCACATATTTTATTGCTAGAGATTATTATTTTTCCTGAAAATTTTATACTTCTTTTATGTGTATGGAGTGCCCTGTGTTGAAATATTACTTTGGTTCATAATATCCTAATGTATTTGATTAGTATTGAATTATTGATATAGTATTGTTCTGTGCTACAGGGATCTAGCCGGCTGAGCATGTCGAGAATCCGCTGCATATTGCGTGGCATTGATTTGAAAACATATATATTTCTATTTGTACTAGTTCCAACGTGCATTTTCGGTATATATGTTCATGGACAGAAGATTTCATACTTCTTGCGGCCGCTATGGGAGTCACCGCCCAAGCCTTTCCATGATATCCCGCATTATTATCATGAGAACATGTCGATGGAGACGCTCTGCAAACTTCATGGTTGGGGAGTTCGTGAATTTCCAAGACGGGTATATGATGCAGTGTTGTTCAGTAATGAAGTGGATGTTCTTACCGTAAGGTGGCAAGAGTTGTACCCTTATATTACACAATTTGTTCTTCTCGAGTCTAATTCGACATTTACCGGAATTCCAAAGCCTATGATTTTTGCTAGTAGTCGAGATCAATTCAAATTTGCTGAGCCCCGATTGACTTACGGATCCATTGGGGGAAGGTTCAAGAAAGGAGAAAACCCATTTGTTGAGGAGGCTACGCAGCGAGTAGCATTGGACCAGCTTCTCAAGATCGCTGGAATTACGGATGATGACTTGTTGATCATGTCTGATGTCGACGAGATACCCAGCAGACATACTATCAACCTCTTGAGGTGGTGTGATGACATTCCTCAAGTCCTTCATCTTCGGCTAAAGAATTATCTTTATTCTTTCGAGTTTCTTGTGGATGATAAAAGCTGGAGGGCATCGGTCCATAGGTATCAGACGGGTAAAACAAGGTACGCACATTATCGTCAGACAGATGAGATTTTGGCGGATGCAGGGTGGCACTGCAGCTTTTGCTTCCGCCACCTTAGTGAGTTCATATTTAAGATGAAGGCTTACAGCCATAACGATAGAGTAAAGTTCTCTCATTATTTGAACCCGAAAAGAGTCCAGAGAGTAATTTGCAAGGGTGCTGATCTATTTGACATGCTTCCGGAGGAGTATACATTCAGGGAAATAATTGGGAAAATGGGTCCTATTCCCCATTCTTTCTCGGCAGTTCATCTTCCATCATATCTTTTAGACAATGCAGAAAAATACAAATTTCTTTTGCCCGGAAACTGTTTAAGAGAGAGTGGTTGATTCTTATAATAACTGGAGATGGTTTGGCTAGTTGGAGGTTCTACCGGTGTGACTCCCCACGATGGGTTCGATCGAACAATGGATGACTGCGGTGTCTCATCGGCTAAAAGTCATGTTCCTTGGATGAATGCTTGGGAATTCTAGGTTTGTATATAGCTTTTCTTTTTCCCTTGATTAGAGTTTTAATTAATTGGTGAAGGGATGTTTCATTTACTGAGCTGAGGCCTGAGAATCTTCTTCCTGTTGCGGGTGCGTGTTGATTACCTTTAGTTGATTACCTTTAATTGCGTATTTCCATTTCATCTTAGCAACAAGCAAGAGATGATATTCCAGTCCACAAATCTTGTTTGAATACGTCTGTAAATTGTTCAATGCCACGTTCGTCTATACTATTCAACACAGGTGAAATATGGGTATGAGATGCCATCTTATCTGGTCTGCCCAAAGTGAATGCATACATCCAATCTTAAAAATATCATCAAACTTACAAAAACGGCTATGGATTTGGCCAGCACCCAGCAGAGGTATTCTAAATTTGTATGCAGTGCACCAGGGAAACTGCCAAAATGGGGCCTAGTAGTAACCAGCGGAACAAAGAAGAGACTAGTGGGGGCATGGTGCCTCCAAAAATATTAAAAAAAATAAAAGGTAAACTATATATTTAAACTTTTTTCTTTCAAAATCATACCAACCATTAGTTTAGGTTTCAATTTGGTATTATATAGTTTAAAATTTAAAGGTGATGTTGGCGTGTAATTATAAGATATATAACATCATCATTAAAAAAATTTAAGAAAATGACACATCAATAGTTTCTATTACAATAGTTTCTATTAAATTTTTTAACAATGAGATACCAAATTGAAACCTAAACTAGATGTTAAGTATGATTTTAAAAACAATAAAATTTAAGTACTAATACAAAATAAAAATAATAGTTTAGATGCTAAAAGTGTAGTTTTCACAAATAAAATGTATATATTTATTTACTTATAATATATATCTATATCCATATATTAAATTTGGTCCTTTAAAAAACATGTATTATAAATTATTAAACTTAATTATCTAAAAAAGTATATTTTACTTTAAAATTTAAAAACCACTTGAATATCATTTATTAGAAGATATTAACATTCATTTAATTGAATGAAAATACATATATTATTATTATTATTATTATTATTTTCAAGATACTATATATATATATATATTATGTTTGATTGTCCAACTTCTTTAATATGTTCATCTAAATCATCAAACATTCAACATCAAGCATTCAACATTTAATTTTATTTCAGTTGAAATTAATTTTTTTAATTCAATTTATATTTATAGTTTTATTAGAAACCTAAAAATAAAAATTTAAACCCCTATTATTTTCTTAATTTTTTATGTAAGTAAATGAATTTTAAAAATTTATAATTTTTATTAATATGATACTGTAACTCCTTAGGCTCGGCCTGAGAGTTACGATCGAATCCAGGCAATCCATGTCATATATAGAAATCATTTTAGTTAAAATAATACATGTAATGATAAACATATACATATACTAACATCAAAAGTATGTATATACACATCCATAAACAAAATACAAGTAATACATACACATAGACAATAATAAAACATGTGTCACCAAAATATAACATAAAAAGTGTATAGAAATTTACAATGATACAAAACGGAGAATAGTCGATCATCCTGATGCCAAGTGTGCTAGCCTAATTTTGAGTAGTATCTGAAAAGTTAAAAATTAAAGAATGAGCTAAAAAGCCCAGTGTGCTCCTTGCGGTGTATAAAAACATTTAGATAAAATACTTTGGTAAAAGTTACGTACGAAATAGGTTTTGAAAACATGAACACTACCCTAATTTGAACACTAGAGTGTGTAGGTTTCTCTGAACCATACACCCAACTGTACACCTGGTAAGGACCTTATACTAATAGCATAAGGGCTTGCAGTAAGGACTTACCATGTGCACAAAGCATATGAGCTTACGGTAAGGTCTTTCAAGTCATAGAAAAAGCTTGAGATACTTTCTCCAATCATACCCCCAATGATAGTAAATTTGCATGTATTTGAGTGAAAACAATAGTTTAATTTATTAAAATGTTAAAACATGCCATATACTAGAATCAGATACAAAAATATAGTAACTAGAAATTATGCTGAAAGTATACGATAATCAGATATCATACAATCAAAGTGTTTAATAAAATTAGAAATTTAAAACAATTCAGACAAATATTTCAAAACAACACTGTAACACCACTAGGAACACACTTGTACCGGTCTGAGAAGTCAAGGACGGTAGCCTACTCTTGAATCTGCCTTCATGGTCAATGATAGCTAGATCCTACAAATTGGAATAACTAAATCAAAATACTAATAAAATACGTAATAAACTTTAATTCAACTATTTATAAAAACCTACGAGTAGGTCTTAAAGTTCACGGATCGCCCTGATCTACCAGACAAGGAGCATCGGATCTAATTAACTATCGATCAGAGGATTCACGAGCACCTTCATGAAAATATAATTCAAGATCAATTATATAATCAAATCTCAAATAAATAAGCATAAATGTTAAAATTACTAAATATTTTTGATTTAACGCGCTCAATTCGAAGCTTTCAGGTCAGAATTTGGCGAAACGAACCGTAAAAGCAGACTCAGGAAATCAAAAAACCTCAACAAAGAGGTTTTTGGAAAAAGTCAACGTTGGTCAACGGTGGTGATTAACGGTCAAGTCAACTGTTCAACGCGATTCGATGTAACTCGACTCGACTTGGTCCAGTACGAAAATAGGCCGGTATGGTTAGGCTTGTTTGGATTTGGGTTTGGGCCATACAGGTACACGGGTCGAGTCGGATACGGGTATGGATCATACATGAGTACGGATCAGGTAGCGGGTCGGGTTGACCTACTTCTAGAAGCCCACCAAATCGGTGGACAAGCCCTATGAGCAGCGGTGGAGTGAGCGCGTAAGGGGCCACTAAGCGTAGGAAAAATTTCAGAAAATACAAAAAATTATTTTAAGGGATTTTAAATCACTTACCTAGCTCGGTTCATAAGGATGAATGACGGAGAGTTCGATATTGACTCATCGAAAACTTGTTATCGCTCATCCCTTCACACGATGTGCGAAGATGACAACATGGTGATCACTGTTAGACTTAGAACGACGCAAGGAACACAATGGTGTAGGCAGTGTAGCAAATAGAGCTATGGTCAACGACGAAACGATGTTTGAAATTTTTGAGAAAAAAAAATACTAAAATGGGAAGGTTTGGAGAGAGATAAGTTTGGTTTCTAAATTAGGCAAATTTCTGTATTTTTTATATAATACTAGTATTCGATTTATTGGTTGACTGATTCGGATCGAGTATTGTAGAGATAATAGTGACTCTTTCAACCCAGTTTCCTCCATTCGTAAACAAAATTTATTATTTTTATTTAATATTAATATATATTGATAACGAATGTTTAAATACATTGTCGTCTTTGGTGCTCAAACCTGAGATCTCTAAAAATAACAAATATTTATTTAACCATAAATTGATTTGTGTAATATATATGATTTTAAAATCATAATATTATACATTTATTTCGATATTATGTCCTAAATCAGAGACGTAACTAAATCCCCGACAGAGAAGACTCAACCACTGTTAACACAATTTTATTCTTGTAACCGGAAAAAATCGGAGACGTAAGTAAAGGGGTTCATAATGGCCTTGGCTCTTAAAGTGAAGGATTAATTTTAATCTCTTTATATTTTGAAGTTTAAAGTTTTTTTTTATTAATTGGCGTAAGTACATGAGAATATCTATTTAAAGATAAATCTCATTTATTTGACATTGAATGCTCCCACTTATACCAACAGTCAGTTGGTCTAGTGAGATGAGCTATTAGATCTCTTAAGCAAGGTTAGAAGTTCATATTCTGACGATTGCGAATGGAGCAAATTGAGTTGAAAGGATTGTCATTGCCTCTGTAGTAATCCTGAATTAGTCGATTAATAGATCAGATATCGGTGGTTACACCAAAAAATAAAAAAAAATACTCATACCTCTGACATTCTTAGTGCTCGAATCTGAGTCCTCAAAAAATAACAATAATCTTTTTTCCACTAAGATCATTTAATTCGTGCCGAAACTTTAAATATAGATAATCAAAACTTATACTTTACCTCTCTAAACTAAAAAATTATAATAAATAAAAAATTATAATATTTTTTTTATAAGTTAAGTCAATAGTAAAATTACCTTTTCTTCTTTTAAAAAAACATAATTTACTCTTGACATCCTCTCGAAATTCCTAGCTTCATTATTGATAATCATTTAATAAACAATAATTAAAAAACAACAAATAATTACACCAATAATAAAAAAATAGTATGATCATATTATTTAAAAGTAATAATTGAACATACTTTTAACAATTTTAAGATAATAATTTCATCTCCCGCTATTTTATTATAGATATTTTTAAGACAAATTATGTAAATATTACTAAATTTTATTAGAATATTTATTTTAGTTACTATTTATTCGATGCAAGATTGAGATATATAGTAAGGTGGATTGTGAGAAGAAAAATAGAAAGATCTTCAAAGATATTAAATTTATTAAATTTGTACAAAATTTTAATTGTTTCATATTTATAAAATCATAAATGATTGGAGTTTTTATCATGTTATATTTATTAAACAGTGATAATTTTATTAAATTAAAATATAAATTTTAATTTACTCATTTAAATTTTTAAACATATATATTCGCATTTAAAGGCTGAGCTAGAGGAGTTGACGGTGGTATTAGTTCTTCCTTTATATTATTAAATTTTAAATTTACATAATAATTAAATTATATTCCGATCCTCTAAAATGATCAAATTTTAATTTTTTTAATAATTATAAAATTAGAAATTAAATCAATAATAAGTTTATGTTTTTTAACTTCAAAAAAATTATAATTTATTTTTAATGTCTTTTTTTTATATATAATTATAGATATTCGATCGACTAATCTAGATTGACTATTATAGAGAGACAAGAGCGACTCTCCAAATCCATTTTGCTCTATTAAAAACTGTCTAGATTCGAACCCCAGACCTTACTTAAAGGATCTAATGTCTCATCTGACTAAACCAGTTGTTTTTATGAATAATTTATTTTTTGGATAGAAAATGATTACAAGGTAGTATATATTCAAAATCTGTCTTAACTATTGATCCCCACACACATTTTATAAACGCAGTTGCTCGAATTTTTCACATTTAGTGAAACCAACATTTTTTTTAATCACTAAGACCATTTTATGAGTTCGAATAACTTGAAACTTCATCCGTACCCGAGAATGAAGAAGCACAAAACAAACTTCCAAGGTAGAAGGACTTT